CGAATGTAAGTAACCGCAATATCAGTCGAGACAATATATTTGAAAAGCTATTCCGATGAGGTTGTGGGGATAAACGCGTTAATATAATGAGCAAAATCCTCGAATACTAGTAAAATAATAAACTGTATTAAGCGCCAGCATCTTTCATTTTTATGAGGTAGTTAGTTGGAACAAGAAAAGATGCTCATACGAACTGGTCTCAGAGAAATCAGTATGCTCAAAATTTACCAATTATATCAGCACTGGCGTATACATTTACATATAAATATAATTGTTGATATCAAAATTTTGTAAATGCACTTCAATTATAGATAATAAAACGAGCAATATAGAAAGTAGGAATGAAAAGAGAAAACTATTAGAAAATTTAACAGTATGGAATATAAAAAAGAAAGAAAATAGCTAAAATATGAAACGAGTCCATGAATGTTTGGTTGTGAGGAGAATATACATCAATCTACGTGTGAATATACGTAAGTAGCAAAGCACATATAGATTTTTCTGGGTTTCCAAGCACAGTCTTGTTATATAACAGTGAAATCTCATCTATAAAAATAAGAATGTTGGAAATAAAAGGGGATAACGAAGCAAAGTGAACAGGATTCATTTAAGACTTTAAGAGTCATATAGATAAACATTTTGCACGTGCCTGTGGAAACAGTACAAAAACAAAAAGGAATGACAGGACAGGGATTATAACAATTTCAAAAGCTTGCGTCAAATGCGCTCCTTAGGCGTAACGGGCCACCATCAATATTTCGGCGCTGAGTTGACCAAAGGGAAGAAGTTACGTCGCCACTGCCCCCGTCAGCAATTCCGTGTGGCTTCGGTCCGTCAAAATGACCACCATAAGGAGAAATACGTTTTTGAGGTATTGGAGAGGCGATCCCAATAGATTGTCGACCATGAGAGAACATGCCATCTAAGCGGATATCGGATGCCGAGGACATCGATTGTGGGGGCGACCTGATAGGGTTGCTCCAAAGCCAAGAGCTATAATCAGTATTTGAGAGCTGAAAACGACCTCTGGATAGAGAGTTAGGAGAACGTGGAGTTGGAAGGCCAGTGTCGAGGCTGCCAAGAGTCTTAGAGACAAAAGAGTAAGAGGGCAAATTGCGGGCTGAAGAAGAAAACGATAAATATTAATTAGATTAAAAGATGCTTTGTAGCGAATTAAAATAAATAATTAGCATATTTTTCGTATATACTTAGAGTTTTGTGACTAAAAGTAAATGGCTACGAATGGTGAGACTCACTGACGATGCCGACTACTCTGGCGAAACGTCTAGGAATGTACCATATCAATGGTCCTACTCTGGAAAGGATGATGCGTACAATGGACTCCGGACTAGGTGCGTTCCTCTAAGTACCAATATGACCAAGTTGAGAAAACAAGGTCAAACAACTTCTATACAACGAAAGAAGACTACGACCACACAGAAGGCCACACCATCTTGGTCTTCATACCTTCGAACAACAGTAAATCAGTTATGAAAGATATTCACCTTATTTCGTTTAAGGTGATAAGGGGCTGATAGTAGAATTTTCCTGCAATGATATGAATAGAGCCGACGTTTCCGTTGAATGTAACATTACCTTGCTATCCCAAAAGTTGTTCTCATCCAGAGTGAAATGAAGTTTCGACCTCGCATAGACTTTATCAACACCCCAAGTTGGAATCGAACAGTGACAGTGCATGTGAGCTTGACACGTCAACCTCTCGGCCACATTGCCATGAGTGCCCTTGTGTCACAGGGCATATGTCAATTTCAAGGAAGGCCATACCTTTTCCCATATCACATTCTTTGACAGAATTGTCGATAAAGCAATAGTAATTTTGCTATAAAAATCGACTTCGTTACTTATTTTTCGTATATAAACATATTCTCGAGTAAGGAAATGTGAAATTGAAATAAAACATTAGGCCTAATCATACATATGTGGGAAAGTTAAACTACCAGATATTCATCACCTTAAAACAAATTGGATTAACATAACTCTTATTTCGGTTTTACTGGTAGTGTCAAAGACCTATTTGTAAACTGGACATAATACAGATATCAAAAAAAGTATTTAAAATATCGAATCAAGTACTAAGCAAAAAAGAGAACAGCAACATTTTACATAAGAGGATCAACAGAAGGGTGATAACTATCAAGACAGTTAAGCCCAATCGCGCATCCCATGAAGGAAGAAGGTTGTCCAACAAAGTGTAAAACAATCCTGTATGTTCCGTTTCTTGAGATCCAGTAGAATGACGTCCCTCCCCAAGAGAACGACGAGATCGCTGACTTGAAAAAGCACGAGAATTTGTTGAGGAAACAATCGCTTGTTCTGAAGCAACATTTCCGCTGGTAGTGCTGGTACTAGAAGCCTGGGGCATTGTCAGGCGAACAGGCACAGTAACATGCTGTCCAAGTTGGCCGATGCTGATTATAACCTCGATGATTGAATCAACAGCTAGAGTACAAAATAAAAAGAACGAAATTGAGGATTCTGTAGGACGGAAAGAATAAAATTAGTGAAACTTTGTCAAAAGTCCTTTTCTTTGGGTTAACAAAGCTAAATGATATCATACTAACGGGTTATGATCGGTGGCTTCGTAAACTAACTTATAGGATTAAATCTCGTCAATTTAATTAATTACGGGATTGCGTAATATCGGTCATACTTTTCCTTGGGCAATCAAGCCTTGATGACCAGGAGCTGACATTAGGCTACATTGAAATCACTCTAAGCAATGGCGAGCGAATGCAGAGGATTTGTAAATTGAAGTGGGGGAAGTGCCATCCGTAATGCGAGAGGCATCGTCAGAACATGACGATGATTATGAGATAGTGGGAAGTAATTTACCTCTAATGGATGTCTGAGTTAGTAGAGGGAATCAAATTGATTATAATCATGTATAGAATATCCACGAACTAGGGTTTTTTCCTGAATTTAGTTTCAAACCATACCAATGGTGAATTGTGAAATCCGTGAGAATACAAATCCTGCGTTCTGTAATTTTAAATTATCAACACCATGAATTAAGGCGAGGAAATTTTTCTCGATAACAATTAAAGATTAGGACAAATTGACAAAAGATTAGAAAGTTTATAGGCAACAAAACGCCACGGATCCGTCAGGTTTGTGGGATCCTGAACTTAGTTGTACCAACCAGAAATCAATACACCATAGCAATCCTCATTCGGCTTCTGGTCAAGCAAATTGACAAATCACTGACAGTTAGCTTTGCCAACGAAGCGAAAAATATACAGCTAGAATACCTCTTATGATGTTTGAAG